AARSCMWKKCCSGKYCYWAAAAAAKCYTKGGCTTTCTTTTTCTTACTAAATKGGCTTGGAAGGTTCGGTCCTTGTGCTTTTGTGCATCATGCCTGTTGGTCATGCAAGTTACCTTGTTTTATCAGGAGACTGTCACATGTGAAGGATCTCTACTGTACAAGAATGATAACTGTGGAAAGCGAAAGCATCTGGACGACAGTGAAGACGAATCAATGCCTACAAACGAAGAAACGTCAAGCTCGTTTAAGCGTTTGTGTCTTGGTTTCTTCTCCTTGTTCGAGCATGCAACTCGCATAACGAAACATCTCACTGGACAACAGAGGTAGAACTTCTGGATTTTCAAAAAGTGGTTTAGCATTCTGAATTTTTATATATCGCTACTGTACTTTAAATCAATAAGATAAGTTAACACTGTTTTTCTAATTAAGGTTTAAATCTATTTCTTATGGATCGTTTAATTTTGGCTTAATAGGCCTGATGGGCTTATATGTGCAACCATAACAACATGTTTACTTACGGCTTAATGAATTAAATGATTGCTTATTAATTAAGATAGCCGAGTTGGGGTCTCTTGTACGGGTGTAAAAATTGATGTGAGGCGAGCTAAAATATCAATATACTCAACTTAAACTCGATAGTCATTTCCCTGGCTCAAACCCCACCTGAAAACTTGCGAATAGTTATAATCCAGACTCAACTCGAACTCGATAGAAATGTTTTAAACTTGAACCCTTTTGAAGATCAAATCAAACTCGAACTGGAACTCAAGTCAAGCTCAATTCAAGGTCGACATATATCTAAAAAATTAAGTGCTTAGAATTTACAACCAAATTCAATTAAATCTATAACAGTAAGAACTTACAAATCCATCAAGAAAACTCTTGTGAGTTGGGTTTTATGGTTAGAATTGCTTGGATAATTTTCTAGATCGTGCTTGGAAATCACTTTCAAAATACTATATTTCTCCCCTATTATGCATTGGGTTTATACGAAATCAGTACCAGGAAAATCTAGAAAAATCATATGCGAAATAAGGCACTAATTTTGTATATATAGTACTTACATCAGGAAATTATGTATTTATGAGAGAGAGATTGATAGTTATAATGGATAAGGTCAAATAGTAGTTACAACTGAATCTTAAGTTCTGGAAAGTACGTCTTCAGCGAGCTGAAGACTTTCAACGATCGCCTTTCAACAATGGCCTTTCATTGACGTTGAAGGCTCTTCACTGCCAAAGGGTCAGCCCCTTGGAACCCCATTAGGGCGGCTGCCCTCTAGGACCGCATAAGGGGGCGTAGCCCCCTTACCCCCTCTTTATAGCGATCTAAGGTGATAGGAGCAACATTTGTGAGTGTACACTCCGCACCTCCTAACTCACGTATGTTTTCCTCATTGCCTCAATTGATCCCAAGTAAATCACAATTACATCAAATAGTTGATGACACTAAAATCACCAACAAAAACAAAATGAGATAGTATAAACACTATCTAATTTCGATCCAATTTGTGGGTTCCTTAAACGGTACCAAAAAATTGATTTCCTTTGGTTGTTATCATTCTCTTATAATTAAAAGGAAAAGTTCATAAAACCTAACGAACTATCCGATTTTAAATGGTTAAGTCTTTAAACTATTTTTTAATAAAAAAAACATTAAATTTCTCATTTCACTACAAAACAAATGACACTTACCCAAAAAATCACCCAGGAAAATTTCTATTGGTAGTTATCGACGAATTACCCATAAAATCTCAATGGTTCGGTAGAATCCTATGTTTTTCAAGAAAATACCCATGGATCATCAGAAAAAGCCTGGGTAATATGTCACTGATTTGAATTACCCATCAACTTTTGTGACGAATCACCCTATAGCGACGGATTTCCCAGGAAAAAATCCCTAGGTAAAAGTCTTTCGTTTACTACTGTTTTAAATGATTAATCCTAAACTATTTTTTTAAATGAATAAAACCATTAAACTTTGTTATTTTTACTAATTAAGTCCGAAAACATTTTTTTTCAATAAAATAAACCATCGAACTTTTAAAAAATTGATCACCTACATTCTTTTAACAAGAAAACTATCTATAACTAACTAGAAAGGATCTAAAGTAAAAAAAGATACCTAAATTAGTTTTATCGTTTTCAAACTCTACTTCTAGCCCCTCACAAACAACCGTGTCACTCCCCTCACCACTCCCTGTTGCGTCATCTTTTCTGTTCTTCATATCAGTATCACACTATTGGGCTCTGCTGTCAATCTCCCTCTTTTTGATCTACTTCTAGGGGATTACAAATAGTTTTACTTTAAAATTTTCTAGTCGGTTACATATAATTTTTTTAGGTTAAAATGATGTGACTAACCAATTTTTAAAAGTTCGATGGTTTATTTTATTGAAAAAATGTTTAGGTACTTAATTAATCATTCAAATGAAAAAGTTTAATGGTTTTTTCATTCAAAAAAGTAGTTCTTGAAATGAGAAAGTTTAATGGTTTTTTCATGAAAAATTGTTTAGGGACTTAATCATCCAAAATGAAATGGTTCGTTGGGTTTTTCTGGACTTTTACTTGATTAAAAAAAAAAGTATATGTATTAAAAATGAAGATAAGCAACTAAACATATTTAGACATCTACCTTGTACATCACTTCAATCCCTTGAAGGGATCTATATTAATCACCCATGCACATCAACATTTGCACTATTTAAGGAGAGAAGCCCTATGAGGATCAATACACGACTACTAGCACTGAAAGTTTCCTCCAAAGACATAGTAGTGATAGGAACAACCAAGATATTTACAACCATCCTAAACAAAATTCTAAACTTGTTTGATTGTTCCTCACAATCAAGCTAAGACATTAAATTTGTAATTTTTACTTAGAAATCGTTGCTAATCAAGATACATATCAATCTCACATTTCACATTAGCTACCGATGTCTCCCCAATAAAAACATCTAGCAAAAGTTAAATAAACCGTTGCATTATCTTCTTCATGTTCATTTGATCAATGTTCACATTCCTCGCTTTCATCTACTACAAAAACAAGAATATATTCAAAATATTCATCAAAAATCTTATACATAACCTCTTTGACTTTACTAATATCTTCTCAAGCTCAATGTGGAGGAAACAATTTGGGGAATCCAATCTCTAAGTCCTTACTTTCTATCTCTTTCATGTTCTTTACCATACTTCAAACAAATTATCTTGAGACTTAGATTGTTATTTAACATAACTTTAATTCTTTATACCTCAACAAGAAACAAGTTTAAAAAGGGGATATTTCAGAACCCGACATTGAGTTAGTAGTGTCTTTAAACACTTTTAATATATCGATCAATTTTGCAATGTTATTCCATTCCTCTTCATGAGGACAAGAATCATAAGTATAGTCATACAAAGCATGTAGAGGAAATACCTGTCTAAATTTGATGCCACAATCTAGTATGTCATATGTTGAACTCCAACATGTCTTGCATTCGTGAACTAATTATCGATGTTTCACGTTGTATTGGCTTACAAAACCACCAATGTGTTTGACACGCGCTATCACTTGATTTCAAGAAACCAACAATCATGGACTTTCTTGATAATGTGCTTCACTTATTGAAAAGGCCATGTTGAACCATAATGTTAAGTCTGCAGGTGCAACAACGAACATGAAACAATCTTCTACCACAAATAACTCTCCCATTTGATTCAAAATTATGGTTCAAAATTTTATTACAAGAATCATTTCTAGATGCATTATTCACATAAATTGTGAAAACCTAACATAAATACAACGATTAAGCTTCATTAGTTCAAACCATAAATAAAGTAGAACACATATATAGAAATATAGTAAACAAATCATAACTTGCTTTGTTCTCAATTTTTGACACCCGCTTAAGATCATGTTTGAGCCTTAATGTTGGAGGAGGCAAATTCTAAGTCCCATATCAACAACAGATCAAGAATCAAAGATGAAATTGAGAGATTGAGATGATAAACTTTAAGAACCAGCCAGATTTTATTATTAGAAAGCATGAAATTACAATCTCTCTAAACTCACTAATCGACTCTCATTGAATACAATAGAATTATCAACTATAATTTTAAGCCCAATGTCACCTATTTATAGAAGACATTTACAAGTAAAGTCCAATGTGCTTAGCCTAATTACATTGAATATTACAATACAATATAGATAAAGGACTTTTTAAAACTTAGGACTATTTTGGTCCTAACAATCTCCCCCCAAAGTTTTATAAAACAAGCATCTCTTGAAACTTCAAGTCTTCCCCCCTGCTTTCTTTAAGAAAACTTTGGTGTGCCAGACATTGATAAAATCTTCAAGCTCCCTCCAGAAGATAGCTCTTACTCTCTAAGTTTCAACTTTAAGATAAAGATCCAATGTGAGTTCAGCACCATCGATTGCACAAAGTACAACTAAAACTGCAGCCGACTCAACACAACCTTGAACCGCATAATCATCACCAATCTGGTAGCTATAGATTGGTCCAACTATGGGATAGATAAATGTGCGAGCCTCATGAGATTCTAGTGCAAACAGTATTATGACAAAGAATCTTTCAGTGAACCACGAGTTGAATAGGCATTCAGCTTAAGAACTTGAACTTGGTAAGCTCATAAATTGGGGTAACGATATTTGCTTGAAGAAACAAAGCAAACACCTTTGACTTTATATATCCGAAGAAAATAATCAACAATAAGCACATAACTTCAAGAACAGCAAGTCAAACCAGATAGATAAGTTGATTTCCTTTAACTTTTTTAGAAAACTGAATAACCAGAATCAGATCCAAATATCCTAGCCAGAAGAGTGATTAAAGGCACTCAGAATTCTTAAATCACAATTATAACATCATAACAATGATTTTAGACTATCAAACCTCTAATTGATAAGGTTATAAGAATGACTGAGAACACTCAAAGATCTGATAATTTCCAGAACACTAATTGTGAACCTTCAAGACCTTTGATTGATCTGGTCAAAAGAAATGAGTGAAGGCACTCAATGGCCTAGCCTCTTGTGGAAAAACTCTAGAGTAGCGATTGCAAATACTCAAACTCTATCTAGTCCAATCAAATACATAATCCAATCAACGGTTGACATAAATCTGGGCTTCTTAATAATCGATAACACAAAATAGAGGTTGACATAGGAAGGAAGTATGGGGAACTATCACCACAATTGGTAAGAGTTTACGAACTTTATCACATGTGATAAACTAAAAAAGTTTATATATGCAATTACTAAATCACTAATCAAAATACAAATTTGAAACGTAGCACAAGGCGCTTAATGACTATTTGAAAGCA